TAAAACTTTAAAAATAAGCAATGAACTAAAAGTAGGAAAATTATTTATGATAGAGAATAGATGATATGATTATTCATGATAGAGAATTATATATATAATGAATAATAAAAGCGGGAACACCTAAATAACAAAATGAAATAATCGAATTGCATTGTCAAATGTATGAGCCATGAACTTCATACATTTACCAAAATGCAAAACTAAGTATACTTATATTTAGTGTTAGAAAATAGTTAATCAATGTAAAATACGTGCATTTTTCTAAACAAAAAATAATGCACTTCTATATTAATGACGTATAGTGGTAAATATCAATAAAATCAAATTAAAAACTTATGCAGAATTTCATAAATACAAAAACAGAAAGAATGTACAAATAAGTCCATTAGTTTTCCCCAGCAAATTTACCACTCTTCGGATAAGAACTGAACTAAAAATGAAAGTTGCGGAAAGAATAAATACTCATTAAAAGAACTGATAAGAAAGCAGAAAAAAGCATCATTTGTAAAATTATGATATAAAACGTTATTACCTCATAAAAGCTGCCATGAAATCTCCACTACTCCGCCGCCTATAACCCGACACCGTCAGCAAGACATCAAACTTTCCTCGTTTGTCTTTATTACAATAGAAACTTGTCAAAAAGGTGTCGTACTTTGCGTAGGAACCTAAAAGAAATTATAACGATTAGGTGATATGTATATGTATTTATTTCATACTCTCCAAATGTCTTTGGCACATCTTGTTAAAATCTGAATATTTTTCATCAAATAATTCATGTCTGAATATTCTGTCTTTTCAAAAGTCAACTGTTGAGGTATGTCTTAATTTATCTTGATTTAACAATAATACATCTGTGAATCTCACTTATAAAACCCTTGTGTTAAGGAAGTTTGTTTGCATGTAAAATATAAAGAGACAGTTATGTTAAATTATGAAGATGCCTCTAATAGTTTGAAAACAAATAAGGGGCATGAATGGTACTTATTAGAGAATTTAAGAAGGAGTTTTTCTAATAAAAACGCTTTCGTCTTATACTATATATACTGACGGAAAAAAATCTTAGCACAAAGAAAAGAATAATGTAGTGTAATGAAATTTCGGCAATTTATTTGTCAAGGTAATATTTAATTGGTTAACGTTTCAAGATCATAGGTTAATGAAAGCGGGAGAACAGCCATTTCAAATGTGAAATGCTGGTATATTAATAACCGGTATAAAAGCAAGAATTTTGAGTGCAAGCATTGCAAACATGCATGCATTGGCACTTGGTCGGTCAACACAGGGACGATTAATGATGATTATGGATGACGCTGAGTTGTAGTTCATATGCTCTTCGCTGATGACGCTGAGTTGTACCTTCTTCGAGTACAATGATGTCTCATATGTACTCGAAGAAGGTCTGGTGATCTACCAGGCGAAGACAAAACGTCGACACACTTTACAGCATATTGGGTTACATGACGATATGATGGCGAGCGTTATCCTATCCGAAAACAAACCCTTGAATGTTGTTCATGAATGACAGCAGAACAAGTTGATTCACCAGACTTGTAAGGATCCTAAGTTTTACTAACGTTTATTTTAATTTAAAACTGTACTATCACTTCTTATTTTCTATTTCCGGCCAAAATTAAATGCTTTAACTTGTTTAGCAAATTGTTGCTAACGCACCAAGTACTTTAAGTTGTGGACTGCCAAGGGGGAGAAATGAGTTTTAGGAAGCCAAGCCCGCTTGCCACTGCAGTTTAACGAGTTTTCACGGTTGCTGGTTGCCTCAAGCCAGAGTTTAGCCCTCTGATATTGCAAACGTATGTAGTTTCAGCAGTCGGTACTACATACGTACCTTTTTTTATAAAGGTAAGTCTTAGTGCTAGGCATTTGTATACTAATTCAAAGTTAGCTTTTAGTTAGAGTTTTAGTTAGTAGTTTTATATTCTTACGTAACCCTATTACATGACCTCGTAACCCTATTACATGACCTCGTTCAAACTCATTGAGCTTTTATAATGGTTTCTTAGGCTTTTTAAAAGCATTCTTGACTACCATCAAAACACTGTTAGGTCAAATCTCAACGAGAGATAACACTCACAACTCTATAGTGACTCTATTTAAAGCAAACCTGATTTGCGTGTTCAAAGTGGCACTACTAGCACCGCACATATGCGCCTAGCTCAAAATCTAAATAGACATCATATCTCAGATGTATAAATATGCCTACTAAATTTCGTTTATCTAACACAATTCCTTCTTGGTGTTCAGATTTTTTTTGTCAGTTTATATTCAGCCGGTACGGATTCACCGGTCTATACCATTTGTTTACTCAAAGTTTTCCTCGTGCAGTTTATTTTTAATGTAATGTCATTATTCCTGCAAAGAAAAAAGTTAAAATAAAGGAAACTGAAAATCGCTCATTAAAATGTAAAGAATACGCACTGCATTTTTAATTAGTGTATTGACATAAACTGCAAGCGTGAGCGCGGTAACACATGTCTACCTTTTTCATATTTTGGAGAAAAAGCTCACCGGTGGTAGAGTAATTAAAATCACTGAATATTGGTATTTCAAGTCCTGGACTACGAGTCGACTGCACTAGATGATCCTAGATTGCGAATCGTTTTGTTCCTGGAATTTCCAAAACAACCTGTATCGACTAGATGCAATTTTGGCTTTTAGGTCTCAACAATTAGGTTAAATTTATCCGAAGAATGATCCTTACCTAAGAATAATCATAGAAGAGTATTATTTTCTACATTAGGATCAAAAGGACTACAAAAGACGGTTAGAATATGATTTTATACTTATGTTAATGAGTTAATCGCCAACTAATTCACACTTATTTTCATTGTGTGTGAATAATACTGTAGGAATAGGTATAACCACCTGTTGTTAATCATTGTTAGCACAAAGAGCGTTAATCCATAAGGTCTATTAATTTCAAAACATCATTTTGCGTCGATTAACTTTTCAAACTGTTGCCAGCAAAAATTACCGCCTTAATATTTAAACAAAGTAAATGATGAAGAATCTTTATGAATATAAGAATGTTTCTCGCACTGTGAAGGAACCTAGAGCAGTCAAAATTTGAATAACGTAGTCCTCCAACAGAACATAGACATGGAACATTGGAAGCTAGAATTCTGAATTTCGAATTTGTTTTATTATATATTTAAAATTTTGTGAAACTTTATCGAATATTTGATTAACAGACGAAACGATTTCAAAGCGAGCAATGGAAATGCTGTAGGGGAAAAATTATCTTCAGCGCGCGATACTGTTTATAGGAAATTTTAAAGATATGCTGTTTAGCTGTTTTTAAATATTTTCTTACATCGCTTTTGAATTGAATGTTAGTTGTTTTGAGTACGAAGAACATGCAATTTAATCAATAAAGGTAACACAGAAAATGATAAAAGAAATTCTCTTTTGGGCGTAATATAAAACCTGAAAGCATTCAGATTTTTTATTTTTTATTTTTATTTGCTAAAATTAATCTTCATCATTTCTAGATTAGAATCCAAATGATTCATTTAAAGAGTGATGAAGGGGAAATGAACATAACTTTACTAACTTTTTAGCCTGTAAACAATGTACTTTATACTTTTGGAGTAGTATGTAACTTTGTTTTCCTGTTGTTTTAGGATTGTGAGGGAAAAATATGAATGGTTCATCAAAACGTTCTGTAACTATGTTTACTTTCTTTTCAGTACTCCTCAAGTATTATTCATGGCTATATGAAATTTGTGTTACTTTGATTTCTAAATGTAAGTAATACCGGTAAAAGAGTAAAATACTTTAATTCCACTTTAGCTTCATTAGCGGCCCCGTAGATACTTGGACAGATCTATGGTAAGAATAATATTTGATTATAGTTTTTAACTCCTTTATTTGCATAGCGGCTTGGATCTTCTAGAAGAATAATACATCTCTGTGAATCGCACCTATGTAAAGTTTGTGCGTAAGAAGCTTCTTAAGACGGCTCCAAATATGAAGATGCCACTAATGTTTTAAAATGAAATAAGGGATATGAATGGTAGTTATTGGGTAATTTAAGAAGGAATGTTTCTATAAGAATCGCTTTCATCTAAATTTCTAGAAGTATATGTACACTGAAGTGACAAAAGTCATGTGATAGCAATATGCAAATATACATATGGCAGTAGTATCGCGTAGAAAATGTATAAAAGCGAAGTGCTTTGGCAGGGCTTTCATTTGTGTTCAAGTTATTCATGTGAAGAGTCTTTGAAGTGATTATGGCAGCACGACGAGAATTAACAGACTTTGAACGCGGAATGGTAGTTGGAACTAGAGGCATGGGTCATTCCATTTCGGATATCGTTAGGGAATTCAACATTCCGAGATCCACAGTGTCAAGAGTGTGCCGAGAGTATCTAATTTCAGGCATAACATCCCACCATGGACAGCGCAGTGGCCGACCACCTGCACTTAACGACCGAGACCAGCGACGTCTGCGTAGAGTTGTCAATGTTCACAGACAAGCAACATTGCGTCAAATAACCGCAGAAATCAATGTGGGACGTACGAGGGACGTGACCGACAGGACAGTGCGGCGAAATTTTTCTTCCTTGGGCTATGCCAGCAGAAGACCGACTCAAGCGCCTTTACTGACAGCACGACATCGCCTGCAGCGAATCTCGTGGGCTCGTGAGCATATCGGTTGGACGAATGGAAAACCGTAGCTTGGTCAGATGAGTCACGATTTCAGTTGGTAAGAGCTGATGGTAGGGTTCGAGTGTTGCGCAGACCCCACGAAGCCATGGACCCAAATTGTCAACAAGGCACTGTTCAAGCTCGTGGTGGTTCCATAATGGTCTGGGCAGTTTTTACATGGCTTGGACTCGGTCCTCTGGTGCAATTGAACCGGTCATTGACTGGAAATGGATACCTTCAGCTACTTGGAGATCACTTACAGCCATTCATGGACTTCACGTACTCAAATAACGATGGGATTTTTATGGATGACAATGCGCCATGTCATCGGGCCACAATTGTTCGCGATTGGTTAGAAGAATATTCTGGACAATTAGAGCGAATGATCTGGCCACCTAGATCGCCCGACATGAATCCCATCGAACATTTATGGGACATTATCGAGAAGTCAGTTCATGCCCAAAACCCTGCACCGTCAACACTTTCACAATTATGGACGTCTATAGAAGCAGCATGGCTGAATATTCCTGCAGGGAACTTCCAACGACTTGTTGAGTCCATGCCACGTCGAGTTGCTGCACTTCGCCGGGCGAAAGGAGGACCGACAAAATATTAGGAGGTATCCCATGACTTTTGTCACTTTAGTGTATATACATAAACATAATTACATAGCAATACATACCATATGTTTCAAAGCATTAATAAGATTACATGTTTTGTACTTTATTATAAATAATCATATTATCAGTAACATATTAATGGCTCCGAATGCTTTGAATAGTACTTTAAAACACTTTAAAACGCACCACAATACGGTCATGAGTAAATAAACACGGTCATGAGTAAATAAGACCACAACACACTAGTTGTTAAAAGCAGTTTCAGATCCCTGCGGAAGGGCTGAATGCATGGTGTTTTCATGTTTTTCACCGTGCATAATATAAATGCGAACAGATTTAATTAACAAAGTCTATCAGAAAAGTATTACCCTCTTCATGGAAATAAACTTCGTGTGATTTATGTATTCAACTAAATAGAAAACACAGTATAACAATAAAATAATGAATTTTCCTCCCTTAACTGGAAAATCATTGGATTTATTTTGACGTATGCAGCTTGAAATGCTGTTCTGAGTTAATAAATAGAGTAACACGGCCGGAAGCGAAAGGAAAGCTTGAAAACATCCATTTTTTAATATTTTAAGAGCGGATTTACAGTTATCCTTTGATCTTTTCATTGTCAGAAGAAAACGTCCTTTTTACCATGGCCTTAGTTTTGTATATATGAGTTACTCACAGGAGAATAAATCTGGAGGACTAAAAATATTGCAAAGTGTAAATATATATATATATATATATATACAGATATAGATATATATATACATCTGTACTCGCATATATATTTTGCTACATTTGTTTTCTAGCAAGAAACTGCTGTACGCTCGTTTTGCAGTCTTGAAGAGTGTTTTCTTATATCTTAAGGAATTTGATAAATTATAAATACATAATAAATTTCCTTCCTGAAAGTTTAACATTCAAGAATTTTTTCATGAAAGTTTTTCTTGGAATCTGAGATCTTTCTCGTATTATCCTTATGGTAATTTGCGTATAAGCTAATTAGAAACGATGTATTTGCAGGCTTAAAAATCTTAGGAAATAATTCACGGTTTCTTATTAAGGTAACTGTAGTTTATATCGCCTACAAACCCAAATAGTTTTACAAAATTATAACATTAATAGCAGTATAATGTTCATGCTAACACCGAAAACTGTTAATTTTTAATATGCATGTATTTCCAGCAAATTTGTTTGTAAAGATGTTATTAACATATATGCATTTTCTAATATGCTCTACAATGTGCTCACAATTTCAGATTATTGTACAAGAATTAAGCATGAAAAGTAAATATATTCTTTTTAACACATCATTGGTTGATTTTTTAGATACATAAAACTAGCTTGTTAACTGTACTCCAGGAATTGTTTATCACTGGTATAAAGAAGATAAGTAATCACTTTTGCACTTTTAATCTGCCTAACATTTCATTTTGTTAACGGCAAATCAGTATCCGTCTCATAAGGTTCTAAAGCTCATTAAATCACAGAACATTGAAGAATAATCATTTGATGTCGCAAACATAGATTGTTTATAAGATATTTATATCGCTCTGTAAGAAAAGTTCTATTAGCAGTCCATCATTCTGCTAAAAATGCAGTCATATTTGGCTTCGAATCTTCCTAGTGACTGTTTTTTACCCTTTGCGAACAACAAAATTTGATTATTTTATTAATGGGGAAACATTGTTTTCCATTTATCTGATACCACTGCAGTTTGGCTAGTTTCAAATATTCAACTCTATTTTTCACCCAGTAAATGGTTTAACGTAATGAATACTTTTGTTAGCTTTGACATACGAGAAAATGTTTTTACACGGGATATCTTTGAGGCCATACTAGTTTTTGTTAACTCTCGTTACCACGAGGTAAGATACACTGAGTCCAACTTAAACCCAGGCCCGAGAACTTAAAACCTCCAAATTAGGCAAGAGTTGCGTCTTTAGGCAAATTTCGCCACCAACGAGGATAAATGTAATGCACTATGCTGCCGTCCCGTCCCAAATTACAGGCACTAGACTGAAAAGGAACTCTCAAACCATCGGCCGAACTGTTCGACCAGGGTCACTATTCCGGACGACGATACAGCGTGGACCTATAAGCCTAAAGGTTTGACTCGTCGTCAATAGGGCCTCCTGCCAGCACTACGCGGACAGCCCCGCACAGTGGTGTAGCGAGTGGAGGCAAGGGGGTGTATGATGCTCCGGGTGCCGCTCGCAGAGGGACGCCAAATGGCCTCCAAACAAGATTTCACGGAAAATTTCAGTTTTTATTTTGATCGATTTTTGGAAAATATATTTAAAATTAATAATTATTGTAATATAATTAATTATTTATTTTTCATTATTACTTTAACATTAAAATGTGTAATAAAATGTTTGCAGTACATCAATTAAATATCTCCGTATACAAAAGGTTCTTTCTCACCAGTTTATTTCTCTAAAACAGAGATGTATTTTTATTTTTATTTTTTTTGAAACGAAATGCACGTATAGCTCCCGCTTTTTATTTTAAAACAATAACACGACCTTGTCAAGAATTTTTCAAACATATGCAGTTTCCAAAAAACGATTTCATAGTCTGGAAATCAAAAAAAAAAAAAAAAAAAAAAAAACATTGAAACTCCTAACGCTTCCGCTACAATGATGGCCGATGCCTTCCTCGCTATCGATTCAACTAATCATCTTGCTGAGACATCGTATATTCACTGCTACAAGCATTAAACGCGTGTCAATTGTTTTTAATCTCCTATTACAAAAGTAATGCTGCAGGTCGCTCATTATTCCTTATCTAAAACACAGAGTTTTTAACGCATAGTCCTTATCTAAACGTCCTTATCTAAATCTTATAAATTTATCAGACTAAATTTGCATATTCCCAACTATGCAAACGTTATGATTTTCCTTTATAATCTCTTGTATTTCCTTTTTTTAAAAAAGGTTGTCGATTATATGGTTATTTCATACCGAACTCAAATTATTCCCTAATTGTTTTGAGCGGTGGGTGTGTCTGTAAGATATTATTCCGTAGTAGAAAAGGAGCTGACACTAAATGTCCATTACAGATCTTACCTTTATGGAGAAAATGTAATGGAGAAAATGTTTTTCCAAACCTAAGAGTCGCACTTCAAATATTTCTTACGATTTCATTATCAAATGCTAGGTAGGGACGTTCGTTCAGCAAATTAAAATAAACTTTGACGTATTTACAATCAACGATGGGACAAAATCCCTTAAGTCATCAATTATTTTCAAATGTGGAAAAAGGAAAATTTGAAATGACCAACTTTGATGAAGTAATTGATAAATTTGCTTCATCCAAGGCAAGAAAAATGTATACATAGTAATTAATTATATTAATGTATTATAAAATTAATTTATTAATAAATATATCTACTTATATATATTAAGCTCTTAGTTCTTTAAAAATTGTACATTTTAAAAAACAATTATATAAATATGTAAATAAATAAATTAATACCTTTTTAACTAATTCTAGATCAATCGTATGTTTGATTTTTCCGCCGACACAGATACATTTCAGAATCCAATGTAGTTATGTAGTGACTGTTCTTAATATATTTTAGAGTATTTTATGGCAGATTAAGCATTTTATTATTAATTGCATTATTTTCTTATGACAAATATATTCTATATATTATATTACTGTAAGTGCTTTTTATCGGGGAGGTCGCCAAAGAATTATTTTGCCTCGGGCGCCAGTTATGCTCGCTACGCCACTGGCCCCGCGCTAGAGAATTAACACGAAATTCATTGGAGAAGGGACCAGCCTTTGCACTGCCATCGATACCTCTGTTTTGGGACTTACCGCCAATGGCCCCTTGGTCCAGCCCATGGACGCAAGAAAGGGCATACTTCCTACCTCCATGGTGCAGCCATATAAAGAAAATCTTCACTTGGGGTTCTGGAACCGCGTGGTTCGTGTTTTTATACCCCCCTGGGCCGAGACTCGCAAACCTGTAAAATAAACGATTTCCGCGGGCATTTATGGACATAGAACAAACATGATATATAAAAAGCATTCTCCAAATTTTCTTCTCTTTTAAAAATATCACGTAAGAAATGTTTCCTTGCGCTGCTGCTCGTTACTTTACATTAAAAAAAAATTTTAAAGAACAGGAATTAACTACACGTAACTTATTGTTCATTACCGTAAAACTTAATTTATTGAGTGACAAATTATTTTTTGAATATTTTATTTGATGTCAATAAGCTTAATTAAAAAGTGGAATATTAGAAATGAATTTATTATTTTTATACAAACTATATGATATGAAGACAACAGTTATCCTGAATAAATGCTGACCAAAATTATACTCTAAATGTAGACGGCATTCATATTACAAGATAAGAAAGCCTTTTGAGCTCTTTTTTATATAAAAATGTATTTTTAGAATGTAGTCAGTTTCTGTTAGTTGGGTAGTCAATGAATATTTTCTTTTCCATGCACCGTACTTTGACAGCCAGCAATAATCATTATTTATTTTCTATTAGCATCAATATTTAATTTCCTTCATACTAGTTACATACAAGCCGGTGTCCCACCTATTAGGTAACTCTATAATAAAGTGACCACAGCTTCCGGCCTTAGTAGTGGACAATGCCTACTATGGCTAATGTTCGGCCATTGGGGGGGAGTTACACATTAGAAATTAGATGCATTAAAGAAATATAAAAAGCTTGATTTAAATACAGTTTGGAAGTAATTTTTATCAGATCTAGCAATAATTTTATTTATTACACAGATTTGTATATGGATATCTACTACAAATAAATTTCTTTTGTTAAGAGAATAAATATAGATTTTTCTTATTAGTATACTGGAATGAACAAAACACATAATTAATGCAGAAAAATCAATATATTTTACCTCAGGTGAAATAAAAACATCCTTATCTTTCCAAAAGACTGAACCTCAGGATTTGTCTTACACTCCGAACGCTTAGATTCCTTTGCCTTTAGAAAAGGTTTCAAAATACATGTTTGTGGAAATTTCCGAAGATCTTCAAACAGTAAAATAGCCTTCAAAAATATCATTAACAAGTAAGAAAATGAAGAAACCCTGATAAAAAACTAAAGAAGGCCTGATATAAAACATTATTTGCTATTTTGCTTTTAAGAGTTTAAAAATGCATATTAAAAACGAAAACACTTTTTTCGCAGTTTCCACAATAAAGTTGGTGACAGGACAATGTAGACAGATTGTTCATATCTGCGGCAGATCTTAAGATTGCTGCCAATAAATATTACTTTAATCCCTTCCTCTCTCTTTTTTTATTATAAACATATGACTCACTCGTAACATCTCAGTATGGCTCTGAATACAAATATGACAAAAGGTTTTGATTATATGGAAGAATTCAAATCAGCTTATTGTTTTCAAAAGCAAAGGATATAATATTTACTGCATAGCACTGATACAATGGTGATGACCATGACCGCTATAGTCAGGAGTTTAATTTAGATGGATTAATATGCCATGCAAAACCACTCTTCTCGGAAGAATTATTAATAAGAATGATCCCATTTTCGACTTCAGAATATAGCCCTCTGCCAATGTGAGAGTATGATAAGGACAGTTTTTGATGCAAATGTTGACTTCATTCGACCTTATTTGTCTGAAACTGAGCGGAAGTAGATATTGTGAATGATAGAGGATAGATGGCCATGCTGCAAATAGCCGTTAAGTTCGTCTTATCATAAGCAGTGATTTTTTTAGCAGAATCAGCCAGATACCTACACAGTTAATATCGGGCCACTCAGACGGTATAGTGGTTAAAAGCACCTGCGGTACCGAAGGGCCTGTCCCAGAGTAGGCATGGATGTTTATAAAGCTTTATGGCATGGGGGCACTCTAAGTATGTGACAAGTTGAACGTTCCCTCGAGAGTTTGATGGTAGGGAAAGAGGGGTGGGAGACCCTCGGATCCCTCCATCAGAACTGGGAGCGGAATTAGGCGAAGACGTAATGTCACCTGTAAATAACCCTATCAATAGTCATAATAGTCCTCAAGGTTCTTGACAACGACAGATGCAGTCTTGCTGTCCTTGCCACGACCCCCCCGGGGGTTGACTCAGGCGAACGTCTGGGAAGTACTGGTTAGGATTTGTGCCTAGGCAGTCTCAACCACGGGGGTATGGCTTCCTAAGTATTGTACTCAGGTTGGTTCAGGCTTGGCAGGGACCGTATTGGTACTGTCGTGTCTGTTCCTTCGGCTGGGTGGAGCTAGATCGGAGATCGTCGACCGAGTCCCCGAGGGTTTGACCCCATTCAGTTCTCGTGGCGGGGACTGACAGAGTGGACAGGGCACCCACAACAATGTAATTTTTGCCGATGGAGTAGTGCCCGGAGGCAAGGTGACAAAGTTTTAACATAGCAACGTTTCGTTCTGCCCAATGCTTCGTTCTGCCCAACGTTTCGTTCTGCCCAATGCCCACTGCGGAATTTGCGCCCGCGAGGATGAGGTCCCATGGACTACAGATATCTAAACTCTGTATGAGTCCTCTAGAATATGGACCTGAGTCGCAGATCTGCGATTGTCTGGTGTGTCTGCCCTTGCCACGATGAACTTCGTGGGCTTGTTCAAGTGTTAATGTCGGACAACTGAGATAGTCACAACACATAGCTAATATTTTCACAACCTCCTTCGGTAGTCTTCCCAGAAATACCAATATCGCATATAGGGACTATACTGTAAAATCCGGTCACCTGAAATACCCTGATTAATCTACTACTTATGGGTTGCCTCAAAGATAAAGTATACAAAACTAGTTCTCATGCTATTATTATGTTATGAGACCTAATTCGAAAATATATCATCGAATTTCATAAAAGGCTTCAGTGTGACACGGCATTCTCGCCATCTCGATTGCAATTATATATACTACAATAGCAATGTTAGTCACTTACGCAACGCAATAATCAAAACATGATGTTATTGTAATTTGATTCAATTTTTATATTCGTTCTAATCTATCTAAAGAAATCTATACTAGTTTACTAGATCTGCCTAAACTCTTTCCTACTGGGTTCAAAATTATGAACATTAATAAATGGAAAGCCTACCTTAAATGCACCATTTTTCATAACTACATTAAATTTGAAAATCAACTTTTTAAGCAAGTCAGAGGTATCCCAATAGGCACACACCCTAGTATTTCAGACTGTAATATCTTTTTATTCATCAAATAATTTACCTTACAAAAAATTTACAAGATTTAAATTACTACGCGCACATCTACAGATATATAGATGACCTTATTTCATTTAATAATTTTAATATGATTGAAAACTCAGAGTTTATCCAAAATGCCTTATTCTTAATAAAACTAAAATCATTCACAAAATATCATCGACTAGCTTGATCTTCAAATAATTAACTACAAAATAATTCTACTGTTTGACAAAGCACGAGACTTCAAATTTAAATACTTACAAATTAATAAATTCTATTTCAACATATCCAAGAAAGTTATTTGTAATACTATATTAAGTCAAATGCAACGAATTAAAAATATTTGTACAGATTCAATAGACGTACAACGCGAAATTTTGCTACTTCTCAAAAATAATCTAGTACCTAATACCTTTATTAATCATTGTCTTAAAAAAGAGTAGGCGTTAAATACTCTTTCTAAATCATTTAACTAATAGGGATATGAAAATTTGGTCCTAAACCGGAAAAGGCATTATAAGTTGAAAGACTATCACTTGGAGGATTTGGAAATAGTGTAATTACTGAAATAATTGTATGTAGTATTAAAAATCACTGTTTTAAGGTATTTTCTTATTCCTTGTTGCTTTTACTAAAAAAAAATTAGTCTATTTCAATACTCTAAATCTGCTAAATAGCTCGTTAGCAGTGAAGATTACTTCTTTTTCAATCCCCGTTCCGCTACGATAATTAGCAAGAAATTAAATAATTTCCTTTCACTAGTCATAATAAAATCAAGATTTTAACAGACGCATTTAGAGTCGCGAAAGAGCCCCACAACCATTTTCCTACCCGCATTCCAAAAATAGCTTCTAAAACGTTCCCGACTATAATAATTCAAAGAATTCCTCACTACTCTCTAAAACGCAAGTTAATTAATTCATATTCTGGCCTTTTATGCATATTGTGTACATTTAAATTTTTACATTTTCTTGTACCTTATTTTATATAAAAAATCTTTCATTTTTTCAACATTTATATTTCATTAATTTTGCAAAGACTGCATTGGTTGTTATGTTTATAACGATTGCTTTGTATTATATTTCATAAGTATAGCAAAGATTATATTCTTTTTATTATGTTTATAAAGATAGCTTTGAATTAGCATGCATAAAGCGAGGGTGTCGAGGGACTCAAAGAGAAAAAAAAAATACTACTACTTAATATAGCAAAGAACTATTTTACTACTACTCAATTTGGCAATATCTCAAAAATAGCTAAAAACAATTCATTAGCTTAATGAAACTGCTACATTCGTATTGGACTATATATAGACCTTCACTTTAATTCAACTCACTTTAATTTCACTAATTGGATTAAACGCAACTTACAAATTTGGCTTTTTTTTTGGTTTGTTTCTCTTGAAAAGTTAACCAATTTCCGATCAATGACGAAAATTACTTAGTTTATTGATTTATTTTCATTTTAAAAGTTTCCATTTCTTTTTTCATGATTAAAATTAAATTTTCTTTAAAAAAATCAGGATTCGGTTTCAATGCTTCTGGATTTTCAGATACAATTCTGCTAACTTTTATAAGGAGATAATATACTCAATATTCCATTAGTAAATATGTGTGATATTTTTGAGGCGCAGTCGAAATGGCAGGCTAGGAAGGCAAACAGATGATGCAGTCACAAAAATGAATCAGACGAATTTCCAATCTTTATTTCCACGCATATAAAATCACAGTAGATATTTATCCGATCATAATGAAATCCGATACATTTCCATGATTCACTCATGATGAAATATGGTGTGTATTTAATTATGGCAAAGCACTTTAGGGCTATCTGCCTAAGGGGAGGGATGCCTTCATGGAGGACTTTCTAAGGCAAACTGGCTCGTATACACGTTACACATAGGGAAAACCACGAAAACACCCATGCAGCCAACCCGTTCGCGGGATTCGAACCTCGGACCGAACTACCAGTATTCAGCGACTTTACCGCTTGGCCGCTGGTGGGCCCTTCATAATGAAATATGATAAATTTCTATGTATATTGGCTTTGTAAAAGAAATGACGCAGACATTTAAGCAAGGGTAAAGCGATGCGGTGTTGACAGAGCAGCGGGAGGGAAGAATGACGCAAGTAACTAACCCGCCAGCAGTATTTATGCTAAATTTGAGGTATAAATAGAGCTAATCTGTTATTAGTTAATTTGTAGTTGTTACATAACATAGAAGATTCTCGAATTTGTGAAAACAGATGAATTTAGGGGGAGCGCACAAAATCTAGAATGTTAATTTTGAGGTCGCCAATTATTTTTAAAGCATCTTTCGTATTTTGTTATATCTTACATATATATATATACTAGGACAAAATGCATATTTTCAGTTTCCTTCAGCGTTCTATTTCTTTCCAAAATCCGTTAGTCCGCTTTGACATATCCTATATATCAGTGTAGTGGAAAAATTAACCTTTTTTTAGAAATATGTTTTCTAATTTTGCGGATAATTGTTACTGTCATTCAAAAGTCTTAAAAAATAAATTTCCTTTTAGGCCCACCGGCTGCCGAGCGGTAAAGTCGTTGAACGCTGGTAATGCAGCCCGAGGTACGGATCCCACGAACGTACTGGCAGCGTCAGAGCTTTCGTGATTTTCCACATATATGTATATAATGTGTATAAGAACCAATTTCCTTCAGAAGGGCCTCCACTAAAGCATTCCTACCCTAAGCAGGTAGTCCTCGAGTGTTTCGTTTAAAAAAAAAAAAAAAAAAAAAAAAAAAAAATCCAAACCTTTTATGATTGGCGTATTCTCACAATTTGCTTATCCATTTTTTTTTTACTTATTAATGTTTATATTTTAATCATAACCAGATTATTTGAAAATAAAAATATCGAAACTCCAAAATAAATGGAATTACATCATAAACTGTTAATTCTGAGGTTTTTACGCTTAAATTGCCAAACATTAAAATTAATAATCCTCAAACAAAGCAAAATAAAGTGTTCTACTACATTGGCTTTTACTAACATTTAAAAAAAATAAATACAAAATAAAAAAGCCACCCACTCTTTACCCTGACTTTAGCTGTGAACTAAATTTTTACTGGTCAGAGATTAAATTACTCATATAACTTTTCCTTCTAGCATTGCTTTAGAAATACCTTTATATAAACGAAGACTTTTAACCCCTTTACTGTTTTTCTTACATACATTCATCTCGCCTTTACCCATTTCTGATTTCTCACCTAAAACAAAAATACTGTTACATTTTGAATATTTATTAATTATTAAATATACAAAAACTTATATACTCTGAACAAATTTATGCTTCTTGATTCTTACAAAATACTTAAAAATTATAATGTAAGAATATTACTGATTTTTTTTAGATCTCTACCCTGCTACAGTCTTTTTATTTGGCGGTATTTTAGGTACGCATGCGATAAGCAAGCGAATCCAATCCGATCAAAAATATTTCGTAAAACGCCGGTGTTGGCCATGAGCGCAGCAAAAGTAATCCAGTGGGAAAACGGCTTCTGTTCTTTCAAAAACTGAAGAACTCGCAATCATCAAAAGCTGTTAGAAAACATTGGCTTTGGGACTAGTAAGTGATTGGATAACATAACTATAGTATTTGACACTAAATAAACTCTTTTAATTTCTGATTATTGTTCGCAAACAATACAAAGTACAAAGTTACCTAACCAATTTTTCTAAGATATCTTTTGTTCCGAACTATGCTATGTCTACTAAAATGTAAAATTAATTTCATAGTAATTAAAAAAATAAAATAATTGCAATCCGAAAACTTCGAATTGCAGGACATTCGAAGAGTTTACTATTGCAGTTACAAAGAGTTAAAATATTTAATAATTAAAAATAGTAAAAATCATAAACTAAAAAAGAGACTGTTGTGTATTCATTTAAATTAATTTAATTAACTAAATAATATTCGAAATATCGGATATACACATCCAACAGTAACTGGGTATTTTAATTAGAGGATGTTATTTAGTTTTAAGAACTTATTTGCTTGGTATTTATTATAACTTCGGTTAATTCATTTGTTTCCTGAATTTAATCTTAGTCTCATTTATTTTGAAAAGTCAGACACTCGGCTTTTAGCTTAACTTCTAGAGTTTTCTTGGTTGAAACAGGCAGGCTTCTTTTTAAGTACTTTTTGTATACTACTTGAATGTAAAACGTAGTATAATTTATCAATTTCAAATTTATGCAGAATGTAAAAAAAAGTTTTGTCTTTCTGATCAACTTATATTTGTTAATCTAAGATAATTATTTGAGAAATTATTTGCAAATATGTTTTATTTTCTCATTAGAAATGGCGAAGATATGTCATGTTTGTTTGTTTGTAAAGAGCAGCACCGAGTATTTTTCATGTTTCGAAAATCAACTTTTAAGTCTGTTTAAAGCTTCGAAACTGGAGATTTCACAGGTGTTTTTGTGATTTCCCGCCTTCACTTCATGTTGAACACGGAGAGGATTTTTGGCTCGAAAAGAGTTACTTTTTTTGGCATGGTTGGCGTTAAAACGGAAAGAGTTGAAAAGATGAAAAGAAAAGTACAAATTTTAAAATTATTCTCTTCTTGGAGTGGCTGCTGAAATTTCTCACCTTTTAGGGCCTCGGTTTCAATGTAGCAGCCTCTACCCCTAAAAACCCGGATGTGGACTCGAGAAAGATTCTTGTTGTGCACTGCATTTAGTATCGCAGTTGTATATAGTTCATTTTTACTCCTGCAAAGACTGCGTTTATCGGACTCTGACCTGAACGAATTACTCAATAAACATTACCCGACCTATATTGGAGGAGATTTTTAACAAACTTGTGGAATGAGACTGTTATCGCACCAAAATTAACGGCCACGTTATTCACGATTACATTCTTAATCATCGAATCTATCTGCACGTTCCTGATACTAGCACCTACAAGCCGAATATGTCAAATGCAGACACGATATTCTGGACGTTGTTTGCCAGCAGTATCAATATCCCGATGTCACTCAACGTAATCGACGATCTTTCATTCAACAAGTGTCTGTGATTGCCCAATTAGGAGCCAACACTTCAATTTCATTTTTTTTTGTGTGTATAAATGAAAAAAACGGCTCTTTGGGCATAATATAAAGTCTGAAACTTTTCTTACTTCTGGTGAAGATGGAACTGCGACTAACTATCCTTAAAATAGATAGGTATTCAAAATCTATAAACGGAGGTTTTTTTTTAATCTAACGTTTAATGGTTATACAAAAAATTGACAGCTACTCGCCAAACACTTGGCGACATATCTCTGTCATTTGTGACTTTTCTATTTTAGTGAATTTATCTCTTATTTGGCAATTTCACTTTAGTTTAAAAAACGTATTCTATAATAGTATTTTGAGAATATTAACCGAATTGTTGACCACGATAATCTAAGTATTAATACATAATTACATTTTCACATGTTTATTCTTTTTCCATAAAGTGCGATTTAATATTCAAAAATTGCAGTTTTTTTTTTTTTTTGACAGTGAATAATGAAAAAATAAACTTACTAAAGTCTTATGTGTTGCCCCACCTTCTGTGTGAGCTTCGGCGATTAAGACAACATTTTTACTGGAAGATTTGTTTGATTCTTCATACCACGGTGCTTTGTGAACTATAGTTGTTGGTGACAGGGGTATCCTTGTCAATTCATCTTGATAGTTGAGGTCAGCTAAAGACACTTCTATTTCCGACTTTTCCTGACATCTCTTCTATAGCACATAAAAAAAAAAAACAGAGCTATAAAGTTTTCATACAGTTTTCCAGTTTATGAAGTACTGTATAGCTTAAGCACTGGGTAATTTTTAAAGAGAAGGCAACATTAATTGAAAGTAAAGTGCAGCATGAATTACAGTACCGTTTCGACCATAGGAACATGGACATTATCAGTTCTCGTGGCAGTCGAAAATGAATTATACTTTTTAAATACATTGGCTATTATTAGAACATCTTTTTCATATAGACTGAAATGAAATGTGCTGACTTCTATTTACATATATAACTGGTGTAAATATTTTTCTCATATGCATAGTTTTATGTAAAGATAGCATTTGGGCTTAGATGTGCATCACATATTTTCGTCTTATTTATGACTTATTAAGTAATATTTCGCATGAATATTTTTCCTGAGTATCCAACATGTGTTTGTATTTATTTCAAATTCTTTCAACCAGATAGTGAAATCTTCATAATTGCTTATATTTGATCTAACTTCGCAATGAAAATTTTCAGAAGAAGTAGACGATGTACAGAAATTTGTACAGAAAATTGCGTGGCAAAATATTTTTAACCATCTTGCTTAAATCTTAAAGAGTGCGAAAGGTCATGTGACATGACAGAAATATTTATGGATGCTCATTGGTCTATTCTAGAAGCCACCCTCTACAGATACACCACTACACCCTCACACAGATATGCACTTGTGAAATATCCTTTCCGAAGAATACATTAAGTTGCAATTCTCCAGCCATTTGAAACATCAGCACATAATTATGTGTTTGAAAAGTTTAGTTCATATGATCAGATAATGAAAATTATACGTAAAGTTTTTCTCATATCAGGAGAAAGATTTATTCTAAACATGACATTGTTACAGAGGACTTATTTGGCACAAAAGCATGTTTAGAATAAAGCATATTTTTATGGCTCCTTTCAAAAATATTTGAGCCTATCGAATTTTTTTTTTAAATTTTTAAATAACTGTCTGTAAAAAATAAAAATTTCGAGTTTTAAATATTATTACAATTATCAATATATATATTTGCCCCTCTATGAAATAATATTAATTTTAAAATCCATCATTAGCAGTTCATTAAAAGATAAAGCTTGATACTAAAAACTAAGCGTTGGTGAATTTTTTAACAGAGTGTTAAAATAAGTATTCCTTCACGTTAGACAGGAAAAATTCAAGGAGATTTTAGAAAAATAATATTAATCAGTTAATATTTGGAAATTATTAAAATGATACCATATTTATTGTATTTGATTGTTGTATCCTAAACCAATTTTTATTAGCAGTCTGAAGTTTTACTGTAAATAATAAAAAGGTAGCCATGAAAGAAAAAAAATCGTTTATATTATAAACAGGTACATTTTAAATTTTTATATTACTGAAAATTTGTTTTGCGTAATTATTTCTTTATCAAAAATAATATAAGTTTTCTGCTGTTAATAAATTTAAAAGTAATTGGAGTTTAATATTTTACAGCCAAATGAAATAGTATTTATAAGCACTCATTGATATATTTCATCCAGATTTGTTTCAGCACTCACCTTTAAACTCCAAGATCTTTTAAGAGCAACAACACAGTTACGATAGTTCTTGCTGCACTTCGCACTGTCAGGAGATTGCCCGTCTTTAATCATAGCACTATCCAGACTCTCACTGTCGCACACTGAAATAAAGCAGAGTTTATGAAAATCAAAAGGTATTAAAATAAAAAAAATTCTAAAAATTTAAAAGTAATGTGAGTTTAAAACTCCAATAGATAGATTTGCTTTCTTTCACGCAGGAATTTCTAAAAGACAAATGCTAATGCGAAATCTCCATGACCTTTTGATTTTTAAATTTTCGAGGCTATGCTGCTTTTAATTTATTTACTTTTCCCCGCAGATACAATATTTTAAAACTAAATGCAAGTCCGTAGGTAGAGACTTATATCTTAATTTAATTTAAGAAAGAGAATTGTCAAAACATCCACAATCTTTATTCACTGAAAATGATAAAAACTATTTGTGATAAGAAGTGGATTCAAAGATCATATTTCCTGCGCAGTTTCTGGACCGGAAAACTTAAACTACCAAATGACAGGCGAAGGTATATTCCCCTGAGCTGTCTTTTATTTTAGAAAAACTACCTGCAATTGCATTATTTATAAACATTTTCGTAGATGAAATTCCAAATGAGCTTTCAAAAGGAGCCATTTAAAATGTGCTGCCATCTGTTGTTCAGACGCAGATATTTCAAACTCAATTAGACTGATGCATGCATTTCGTATCTACCTTTTAAACGCATTCCTGTGAAATTCTCTGAAGTTTCACCTATGGACTTCCGTGCCTCTGATTTCTTGCTTTTCTAAGCGCAGACCCACGACAAATGACGGACTCTGGGAACTAGTAGAAGAGGAATGGAAATATACGTGAAATCCTTTTATCACTGAAATCTCGAAGTAGACTGTACAGCAATAGACTGTACTTAATATTCTTTATATCATCTTAAAAAACATTCTTTACATTTTAAAAATTAATTTAACGGTCTGAAATTGTTCTAAAAATGTAGAACAATCTGCTAACCATCCTATTTTTAACACTTCTCAATCAATTTTTTTAGCATACGTTACTATCAGTATATTTATATTTTTAAAGTATAATTAATTAAAATTCCTTTGATTTTAAACGATATTAAGTAAATAAATTAGAAGAAGAAAATTCGCATTAGAGTGGAAAATACAAAAGTAGAAGGATGGGCAATAAATTTCGTAAAGTGTCGGTCTTCGGAGGGTAAGCGTTAATTGATTGCCATGTAAACTTTAAGATCTTAAGGTATAATGTTGTAGTACATGAAGATAATTTGAATTCGATTTTTGGTCCTTTTTTGGGGAATCTAGAAGGACCACAAAAGGAGATTTCGACGACCAATTGTGATCTGCAGTCCACAGTTTATAAAGCAGTCATTACAAAACTAAGGTGAGTTTTCAGGATTTTTTCTAGGAAAACCCCATTTGCAGTTTTCTCGTTTTAAACGTTTTTTTGGAGTGGACGTATTTGACTTCCTTTAATATCTTTTAAGAGATCTTGTAAAAGGTGTCGTCGTTAAATAGCAATTCAGCTTGTTTATCTTATAATACAAGGTTTTCACGTTCTAATATCTCACCGTATACCACCCTTGATCTTTTGCATCCGTCTTTTCTTTCCTCTGCTCTACTATCCTTTGTTGAAGACATTGGATTCAAACTGTTTAGACGAAAATCCTTAGATCTCATTATAATTGTCGCATAAAATCCAATAGTCACAATTGTATTTGTTCTTCTCTCTTCCCCCCCCCCGTTTCCTTCATTTTACATTTGAAAAATCCCCAAAGCGAGAAATATAATTAATTCCTTATGTTGCTTATCTATAATTGAGAGAAATGTGCTCTGATATGATATGATAAAGAAGACCTAACCATGATGAACTTTAAATTTAATTTCAAATTCTAGCATGTACAGTCATTATCTTTGTCGAAGTAGGAAACATGGAAAAAGCTCTCGCCGGTTTTCAGAATGCGATAAAAAGGGGAATAATATCACATTCTCTCAACCACTGAAAGAGAGAATGGTAAGGCCAGGGCCCTGTTCCCAAATCCTGCTGATGACAAAATATTGTATCAACCACATTATAGTTTACACTCTAGAAATGCTTAAAAAATTTCAGAGCCCCAAACCGAAGAAATCTGCAGTGATCTCTCCGTGACTCGAGTTCCGGACCTTCCAGTGCAAGCTGGATGTACGCAGAAAAGAGAGAAAAAATACTTTACATTCTTTCCCACGTAAAGAGCAACTGGGATAGACGGGACACAATCGACAAATTCTGGGTATGATAAATCATCGTCCACCACATTTTTAGTTCGGGTGAGGATGTAGAGGACATTAGGCATTTTATTTTGGATCAGAAGATTTTGAAAATGTGTAATGGCCTGGCCGGGGTTCAAACTCTGAACCTTCTGTTTACTAAATGTAAGTGCTTTCCCGTTACATTACGAATTCAAGTGGTAAAGAAGGAGAAAATAAGTTACGAGCATTGAACGTGTTTGCACCATTTCTCAGACACCCTTCCAGAAAAAATGACAAAATTGTAACATTCTTCAAGTATAATAAGTATAATCTTAGGAAGTCTCTGCTTCATTCGATGTATTAATAATAAAACGGATTATTCGATCTTAGGTAAGAGAATGTTCACACTTGGAAATTTTCCGCATGCGCCCAACTGGCTAGGTTATGTTTATTTACACTAGATATACTGCAAAACAATTTTCTTTCACTTTGGTGGTTTCAGTGTATTGTTATACATTTTTCCCCACTAAAAAAGTGTAATTTGATTTCTCCCCCTCCGTCTGCGATTTCTTACGCCTTATGACAGAAAGAAGAGGAAATGTAGCGTATGCGAAACAGTCGTCAGAAATCACAGCGGTATTTGAACACATAACGTTAGAATCAATGTTTCTAAATGGAGAACAGTGTTGCCAGATCGTTAAATTTTTCGCAAATTTGCTAATTTTCATAAACTTGTGCTACTTGTGCTACTAAAAATTCCTTCCACGCGATTTTGCGCGCTACCCTGTCCTTGAGTTTCCTTTATTACATTTTCAGCTTATTTTCTTAAATATATCATAAAATTTATATCAGTTTATAATGTACTGCAAATACAGCGATAAGCTGTACCTCGAAAGAACGGTTTTCAGTAAAGGACGGTTTAAATATTTTTCTTTGAATTCTTAGGCCGCAGTCACTGATAAATAGGCCAACTCTAAAAAAGTAGTAGTAAGGGAAAGAGAAAAATATTATAAAAGTTTAAAACAATGTTACGCAAATCAATTCCTCCTTCCAAATGATAAAATGTATTTCTGCGGTCGATGTTAGTTGAAATAAATTAAATTTTGGTGGTGAGCAAAATGAAATTAATTTAAATTAAATTAATCAAATTAAATTAATTTAAATTGGTGAGCCAAATTTAAAATTCATTCTCCTAATTATAATAATGCGAAATGACTTAAAAATAAAAGCAGCACCAGAGTTCTAAATAAGGAACTCACAAAAATATTTAACAAATAAAGAAGGTATTTTTATATAGCAATCAGAATGTGACGGAGAGAAATTGCAAGATTCCTATCTTTCAGTTCCAGCTAAAGTTGAGCAGCCTTAAGAACTGGTAAGCGAATAATCGCTTTACTTCAGTAGACAGAGAACAGATACTCGAGAAGAGTTAAATACCCTTTATTATTCCAAGTAAAGTTCACAGAAGATCTCTTCTTGGATTTTACAATAAAGCCTAGACTTGGGCTTGAACTCAGGAAACTAAGGAATAAAGCTTAACTAAGCTAAAAAAATATAGCCGAAGCTATCAAAATTATAGCAGAGTTAGCCCCTTAACGCTAACTAATGACGAAACTATCAAGGGCCTAAAGTACGGCCGAGCGTAACAATAATTTGTGAGAGAGAGTAGCCTAAAAGGCGAACGCGCGCTGCTCAGAATATCTGGCTCTCTAACGAAGTTAGTAGAACATCACAGCTAAATACTTCTTCTCCTCATTTGCATTCAACCGTGATTCTGAAAATGCGTTCTGGCCGGAAGTAGGAAGCTGAAATTCAGATAGGACAGGAAAGTAACTTTTAACTGAAAATTAACTGTTAGATAAATTGAGATAAAGCTTACAAAATAATTTCAACAATCACAGCGGAATATCAACTGAAAATAATTAACAATTAAAGTAAAACCAGAAGCAATGATTAAAAAAATGAAATGCCAACTCAAATGAATTAGTTCAACATTGCTAACAAACCTAATGTGAGAAAGCAAATAATAACGGATATGAATAAAGAACCAAAGAATAACAACATAAACTGCATGATTATTTAAAGGAAAGTAATTTAATTTAAAGGATATTTATTTATTAATTAAAAGATATTTAAACAATGTAAAATAAACAATCTGGTTTTAAGATTTTCGTCAAAAATAATGTGCTTATTATAACAAAGAAAAATCGAATTACAATTTGCTATGTACGGAAACAATTTGCTATGTACGGATATATATATATACGGAGACTATGTGATGATACCACTACGAACTTGTGGCATCACAAAATCGCATGAATTCTGATGTTACATGCTTCTTTTTACGATCTTTTGATAGTTCTCTCGCTCCTTTGGCTCTAAAACTTCTGGCAGCACTGACGGAAAAGGGTACTTTATATAGAGTACCCCATATTGAAATATCATGAAAAATAATTCATAACTGACGTATTACGCAAATGCGGGTATGTTAAAAATACATGATTGCTAATAGTACTTTTTAAATCTTAATTAATTAACTTTACGCTCTCTAGCAGTTTATTTAGTCTTACTTCCTATTTTATAGCCCAGAAAGTTTTCTTATTTTAACTATACAACGCATTTTTGCAATAACTTCAATAGCAATAAATGAAATATTCTACATTTTTTAAAGTATTGCGCAAAATTTAATTTATTTCAACTAACATCGACCGCAGAAATACATTTTGTTTCTCTTAGTTCTGAAAGTTTTGTTATCGATTTATATCTAGAGATCTTCAGAGAGGATTTAGATGGGAAGTTATAATGCTGAAATCCTTTTTCCTAGATTCCATAAGAGGATTGCGGTAGAAACGAGTTTCTAAAGT